GGATGCCCGACAGGTGGCAGCAGCCCAGAAAATAATTTTCCCTCCAGCGGCCACTTCGGTTTTCCTGGCCCAGAGCGACTCTAGAGCGCCCATTCCGACCGGCGGGAGCGCTTCGGACTGCAACTCCCGTCGTCCCTAACCGTGACGTAGAGGAGCGCCTGCGCCGCCTTTTTCCCGCCTAGCAGCCTTTTCCGGCGCGGCCCGATAGCGTCAGCCGGAAAGAGGAAGCGGGAGTGGCGGAAGCTTTTCTTCGCCATGAGGCATCTTCACGCGTCCTCGCTGATTTCCGGCCAAAATGCGGCTTCCTCCGGAAGAGAGGAGCGCTACCGAGTTGAAGTCCAGCCCCTCCTCTTGGAGGACTCCGATTGAGAAATACAGTTCCATCGGCCCAGAGTGGCCGAAATCGCTTCTTCGTTTTCTGTCATCCCTGTCGGGTTGATTTGGGATGTGGGCGACGAATGGTTCTGTTTGTTTTTTTTAGGGTGGGTTTTTTGGGGGGAAATATTAATCGATTATTAAATATATTAAATATAATTAAATATAATATAATTAAATATAATATAATATTAAATATTATGGGGCGGGCTTCAAAAAGCCTCAGAGGCCGACGTCAATATCGCCCTCGCCGATTGGTCCGAATTCTTCTCTCCCTAGGAAGCACTAGTCGCTGTGATTGGCTCTCCAAGTTCTCGCGGGAGGCTTAGCCCTAAATGGAGGCCCTCCCCGCGGCCGAGCCGGATTGGCCAGTGCCTTCCGCCTCCTCTGCCATTGGTGACGCTCTGACCCAAGCGGCTCGTGATTGGTTGCCGAGCGAGGTTTATAAGCGCCGGGCCAGGCCGGCACCCCTTCTCAGTCCTGCTGCTCTCTCGTGTGGCGTGGAAGGTGCTGCGTTCTTCAGCCGAAGCTAAGGCCGCGTTCCCGGCGACTGGCACCGCACGCTCCCCCCCATCTCCAGCCATGGCCTCCGTCTCCGAGCTCGCCTGCATCTACTCCGCCCTCATCCTGCACGACGACGAAGTCACCGTCACGGTGAGAGCGGCGCGGCGGGAAGGCCTCGTGACCGGGCCCGCGTGGAGGCCCGCCTCGCTTGTGGCGCGCCAACGCGTGGCGGGGCCTCTCGATCCCCTCCGGGGGGGGGCGTTGCAGTCCCGACCTGGGAGGGTGGAGGAGGGAAGATCCCCAACGGTCCTTGTGGCTTTGGCCGCCCCGCTCCCTCCTCTGCCCGAGCGGGTAAGCCAGGGGTCTTCAAACTGGGCCCTTTGACGACTTGTGGACTTCAACTCCCAGAATTCCTCAGCCAGGCTCGCGTACCTGGCTGAGGAATTCTGGGAGTTGAAGTCCACAAGTCATGAAAGGGCCAAGTTGGAAGATTCCTGACTTAAGGTCAGAGGAGGGAAAGTTGTATGCCTAGTGACTGTTTTTCAAAATAAGAGCCAGCCCCCCCCCCCCCATGGCCCTTCTGGGATGCTCAAAGGCCATTCAAGAGGCAAAAAAGGTCTATATTTCACCATGTCTTACAGCAGGGGTCTTCAAACCTGGCCCTTTTATGACTCGTGGACTTCAACTCCCAGAATTCCTCAGCCAGGCACGCGTGCCTGGCTGAGGAATTCTGGGAGTTGAAGTCCACGAGTCATAAAAGGGCCAGGTTTGNGGATGCCCGACAGGTGGCAGCAGCCCAGAAAATAATTTTCCCTCCAGCGGCCACTTCGGTTTTCCTGGCCCAGAGCGACTCTAGAGCGCCCATTCCGACCGGCGGGAGCGCTTCGGACTGCAACTCCCGTCGTCCCTAACCGTGACGTAGAGGAGCGCCTGCGCCGCCTTTTTCCCGCCTAGCAGCCTTTTCCGGCGCGCCCCGATAGCGTCAGCCGGAAAGAGGAAGCGGGAGTGGCGGAAGCTTTTCTTCGCCATGAGGCATCTTCACGCGTCCTCGCTGATTTCCGGCCAAAATGCGGCTTCCTCCGGAAGAGAGGCGCGCTACCGAGTTGAAGTCCAGCCCCTCCTCTTGGAGGACTCCGATTGAGAAATACAGTTCCATCGGCCCAGAGTGGCCGAAATCGCTTCTTCGTTTTCTGTCATCCCTGTCGGGTTGATTTGGGATGTGGGCGACGAATGGTTCTGTTTGTTTTTTTTAGGGTGGGTTTTTTTGGGGGAAATATTAATCGATTATTAAATATATTAAATATAATTAAATATAATATAATTAAATATAATATAATATTAAATATTATGGGGCGGGCTTCAAAAAGCCTCAGAGGCCGACATCAATATCGCCCTCGCCGATTGGTCCGAATTCTTCTCTCCCTAGGAAGCACTAGTCGCTGTGATTGGCTCTCCAAGTTCTCGCGGGAGGCTTAGCCCTAAATGGAGTCCCTCCCCGCGGCCGAGCCGGATTGGCCAGTGCCTTCCGCCTCCTCTGCCATTGGTGACGCTCTGACCCAAGCGGCTCGTGATTGGTTGCCGAGCGAGGTTTATAAGCGCCGGGCCAGGCCGGCACCCCTTCTCAGTCCTGCTGCTCTCTCGTGTGGCGTGGAAGGTGCTGCGTTCTTCAGCCGAAGCTAAGGCCGCGTTCCCGGCGACTGGCACCGCACGCTCCCCCCATCTCCAGCCATGGCCTCCGTCTCCGAGCTCGCCTGCATCTACTCCGCCCTCATCCTGCACGACGACGAAGTCACCGTCACGGTGAGAGCGGCGCGGCGGGAAGGCCTCGTGACCGGGCCCGCGTGGAGGCCCGCCTCGCTTGTGGCGCGCCAACGCGCGGCGGGGCCTCTCGATCCCCTCCGGGGGGGTGTTGCAGTTCCGACCTGGGCCTGGTGGGAAGACCCCTAACGGTCCTTGTGGCTTTGGACGCCCCGCTCCCTCCTCTGCCCGAGCGGGTAAGCTAGGGGTCTTCAAACTGGGCCCTTTGACGACTTGTGGACTTCAACTCCCAGAATTCCTCAGCCAGGCTCGCGTACCTGGCTGAGGAATTCTGGGAGTTGAAGTCCACAAGTCATGAAAGGGCCAAGTTGGAAGATTCCTGACTTAAGGTCAGAGGAGGGAAAGTTGTATGCCTAGTGACTGCTTTTCAAAATAAGAGCCAGCCCCCCCCCCCTGGCCCTTCTGGGATGCTCAAAGGCCATTCAAGAGGCAAAAAAGGTCTATATTTCACCATGTCTTACAGCAGGGGTCTTCAAACCTGGCCCTTTTATGACTCGTGGACTTCAACTCCCAGAATTCCTCAGCCAGGCACGCGTGCCTGGCTGAGGAATTCTGGGAGTTGAAGTCCACGAGTCATAAAAGGGCCAGGTTTGAAGACCCCTGTTCTAAAGGGGTGTTTATGCCCCCCCATAACCAGATTTGTCTGCAGATTGGATGAGTTCCTTTTCTATCTCCTCATTGCCAAATACAGTTTATACACAGCTCCTAGTCCTGCACGTTAAGCACTAGACCAGGGGTCTTCAAACTTGGCCCCTTGCCTGGCTGAGGAATTCTGGGAGTTGAAGTCCACAAGTCATCAAAGGGCCACGTTGGAAGACCCCTGGGGTAAGCGAAGCGCGAGGTGTTCCCCCTTGAACGCCCGAAGCGATCTCAAGCGCAACGATGTCTTCTTTCGTTTCCAGGAGGATAAAATCAATGCTCTCATCAAAGCGGCTGGAGTGAATGTGGAGCCTTTCTGGCCCGGTCTCTTCGCGAAGGTAAAACGGAGGAGGAGGAAGGTTCCCAGTGTGTGTGTGTGTGTTTGAGAGAGAGAGATGCAACCCTGGGGCTGGAAGAGGCCGGCAGTCCTCGGCTTAGGACCATAATTGAGTCCCAAATCTCTACTGCTAATAAGACGGTTGTGAAGTGAAGTTTTCCCACTTTTACGACCTTTCCTGCCACAGTTAAGTGAATCAGTTACATGGCTTCCCCATTGATGTTGCTTTCCAAAAGGGAACCGACATAAACACAGGTCAGTTGCCAAGTGTCTGAATTTTGATACATGAGCATGGAAACATTGCCATGGTTAGAAGGGTGAAAAATGGTCCTAAGTCACTTTTTTCAACAGCCGCTAAACCAGCGGTTCTCAACCTATGGGTCGCGAACCCATTTGGGGTCGATCGACCACTTCACGGGGGTCGCCAAGCAAGGCTGTCCGCCATTTTCCCCCCTTTTCCGGCGGGTGCCTTACCTCCCTTGGGCTGGGCCAGCTGGTGGTCGGCCTGCTCCGTCTCTGCCGCTTGCCAGCTACGCCTCGGCCGGCGCAGGGGGCGGAACCACGCATGCGTGGCGCTCCCGGGCAGGGAAAGTCCTCGACTTACGACCGGTTGGGTAGTCCTTGACTTACAACCGGTTTAGTCCTCGACTTACGACCGGTTTAGTCCTTGACTTACGACCGGTTGGGGGTCACAGCATTAAAAAGGTTGAGAACCACTGCGCTAAACGAAAGGTGGTAAGTAGAGGACTACTTGTGCTTTCTTAGCGCCTCCTCCTCGTCTATGCAAAGGAATCACGGGAATCTGCAGCATTCATAGGCTGAAGCCGTGATTAACCATCAGCCTTTCTTCTGACTAAAAACATAGGAAAGGGAGGCTACTATACACATTAGGAATTTCCTAAGATACGGACCAAACGTATCTTAAAAATTTAAATCATGGCAATTGGAGCAAAGTTTATTAAACTTGAGATGTTTTTGCTACTTCAGTCAAAATGAAAAATTTTGGTAGAGAGTCGTTTGAATGTACTAACTCTTTCTTTACTTGACTGCAGGGGAGTTTCTCCCCAAAATGAAATGCAGTAAGTTACTTGGATGAGTAATAAAACATCTCGGTTTAATAAACTTGGTCCATTTGCCATGCGTTAGCCTTTTAAGATAACTGTAGTTTTAATCTTTTGTTTTATAACTTGTAAGCTATCCAGAGTCACGTTGGGTGGTGTGTGTGTGTGTGTGTGTGTGAGAAACATTCAATAAATAAAATAGTTTTGTGATACAAGTTCCATGTGGGGTTTAGAGCTTTTACAACTTTCTCTTAGAACAGTATCAAACCATGGCAACTTTTAAGTCATGGGGACTCGTTTAAGTCCCAGACTTCAATTTCCCATTCTGGAACTTGAAGTCCCCACGTCTTCAAAAGTAGCCAAGGCTGAAAAATGGTCCTCAGGTTATATACAATGAAGGCCGGGCCCTTGTTTGATAGGGATGCTAAAGCTTTGATCCTTTTCCAACTTGTGACCAGGCTTTAACCAACATCGACATCGGAAGCCTCATCTGTAACGTAGGAGTTGGTGGTGGTGCTCCAGCCGCATCGGCCCCAGCGGGAGGAGGGCCCCCTGCCAGCGGTGCTGCTCCTGGTGAGTGAAATGGCTCGTCCCAAACGCCTCCAGCCTGGTGTTCGTTATTTGGGCTACTTTTCAATGAACTGGGGTGGGGGAAAAATGTCCCTGCTTTACTTAATCCACACTATTAATTGTTTTGTAGCTGAAGAGAAGAAAGAAGAAGAAAAGAAAGAAGAGTCGGAAGAATCCGACGACGACATGGGCTTTGGTCTTTTTGACTAAGCTGGTTTTTTTCTACTCTTTATAATAAAGAGAAAAAAAACACTTCAATGAAACGTGGTCTTTGTTTACGAATGCTCCAAGTGCACACAGCCTCCGTGGCTTTCCACTGCTACAAATCGCTTGCATCCGTTCTTACATAAAGTTTACTCAGGAGCAATCTGTTCTCCGCCTAGGCCAGGGGTAGGCAACCTTCTGACAAGCAAAGTCAATGGGGCAGCCATGCTGGCTGAGGAATTCTGGGAATTGAAGTCCACAAGTCAAAAGGGCCATGGTTCCCCACCCTTGCTCTAGGTCAGTGGTAGGCAACCTTGGCCCTTTTATGACTGGTGGACTTCAACTCCCAGAATTCCTGAGCTAGCATGGCTCAGCTTGGAAACCTCTCCCTTTCCCCTCAGCATGGCTGGCTCAGGAATTCTAGGAGTTGAAGTCCACGAGTCATAAAAGAGCCAAGGTTGCCTACCACTGGCCTAGGCCAGGGGTGTCAAACTGCTGGCCTGCGGGCCGCTTTCAGCATGCGGAAGCCGCACCCATCCCATTGCCAGCAAAGTCACGATGTGTCGCAGCATGTCACATGACAATGGCAAGTTTGACACCCCTGGCCTAGGCTGTCCTGCCTATGTGGGAGGGGGGGGAAAGGGATCAAATGCCTTTTGGTGAGGAGGCTTGCCATTTGTCAGCTGCAGTTTTTGAAACTACTACTATTCTCCAAAGCGCCTGAAGGCAGGACAAGAAGCAACGCAAACTGATCAAAGAGAGAAGCAACCTGGAACAAAGGAGAAACTTCCTGACAGAACAATTAACCAATGGAACAACCTGCCTCCAGCAGCTGTAAATGCTCCAACACTGGAGGTTTTTAAGAAGAGACTGGACAGCCATTTGTCTGAAATGGTCTAGGGTTTCCTGCCTGAGCAGGGGGTTGGACTAGATGATATCCATGGTCCCTTCCAACTTTATTATTATTAAATACGAGCCAGTTGCCAAGAATCCAAATCAAGGTCCACCTGTAGGTCTAGGTGTCAAACTGCCAGCCCGTGGGCCAGATGCATCATAGCAAAACCGTGCCCACCCCATTGCCGGGAATGGAAAAAAAGTCGCAACACGTCATGTCTAGGATTTTCTTGCAGGGGTTTCCAGTCCCAGTAATATAGCCAAAGATACCGTAAGGTCCACCTTCCACCTTTGTTATTATTAAGGTAGTTCTCAACTTGCAGCCATTCGAAGGTGCAGTGGCACTGGGAAAAGTAATTTACGACCGGTTTTTTTTCACACTTTGTGACCCTCGGGATCACATGATCGAAATTTGGATGCTTGGCAGCTGGCTCGTATTTTATGACCGTCGCAGCACCCCTGGGTCATGTGATCATCTTTTGCCAGCTTCTGACAAAGTCAGTGGGGAAGTGAGATTCATGGAACAACTGGCAAGAAAGACTGCAAAATGGGGCAAAACTCCACTGTCTCGTTTACAACCACAATAGAGCCCCAAATTGTTGCTAAGTGAGACACTGGAGTTTTGCCCCATTTTACAATCTTGCCACAGTTGTTAAATGAATCTCGCTTCCCCACTGCCTTTGCTTGTCAGAAGCTGATGAAAGATGATCACGGGACCCAGGGACATTGCAACTTGGTAAGGCCACTTGGTAAGGCCACACTTGGAATCCTGTATCCAGTTTTGCTCACCACGATGTAAACAAGATGTTGAGACTCTAGAAAGAGTGCAGAGAAGAGCAACAAAGATGATTAGGGGACCGGAGGCTAAAACATATAAGGAACGGTTGCTGGAATTGGGTATGTCTAGTTCAGGGGTAGGCAACCATGGCTCTTTTATGACTCCTGGGAGTTGAAGTCCACAAGTCATAAAAGAGCCAAGGTTGCCTATCCCTGGTCTAGTTTAATGAAGAGAAGGACGAGGGGGGACATGATAGCAGTGTTCCAGTATCTCAGGGGCTGCCCCAAAGAAGAGGGAGTCAAGCTATTCTCCAAAGCGCCTGAAGGCAGGACAAGAAGCAACGGATGGAAACTGACCAAGGAGAGAAGCAACCTAGAACTAAGAAACTTCCTGACAGAACAATGAACCAGTGGAACAACCTGCCACCAGAAGCGGTGAATGCTCCAACATTGGAAGTCTTTAAGAAGAGATTGGACAGCCATTTGTCTGGAATGGTCTAGGGTTTCCTACCTGAGCAGGGGGTTGGACTAGATGACCTCCAAGGTCCCTTCCAACTTTATTATTAAATACGAGCCAGTTGCCAAGCATCCAAATCAAGGTCCACCTGTAGGTCTAGGACAGAGGTGTCAATCTGCCGGCCCGTGGGTCAGATGCATCATGGCAAAACCGTGCCCACCCCATTGCCGGGAATGGAAAAAAAGTTGCGTCACGACTAGGATTTTCTTGCAGGGGTTTCCAGTCGTCCCAGTAATACAGCCAAGGATACCGTAATTCATTGGAACCTCTCAAAGTACTAGGTCCTTGTATTCTCGAAGGGACTCGCGTTTCTCTTGTTTGTTACACAAACCTAAAAGTAGAAATTGGATTTACATAGACATTTTTACTCTCTTTAGAGGAGCCGAGCTGTTTTGGGCCACCTCCTTTCTCATTTTATTGAAGGCTTGCCATTTTGCATACTTCGAAATGCCTCATTCTCTCCCACAAAGGATGCATGCATGCATGCATTCTTAACAGTTCCACAGTCAGGCACTTGATGAGTTGGATTCAAGCAGTTTTAAAATATTTTATCATGGCTTTAATCTTTTCTTTATAAATTATATAAAAATGGGGAAACATGGTATGGTTACAGAACTTCTAAATGCAGCTCCATTTCTTAACGTAGAAAGAAAATGACTAAAAAAAAAAACCACAAACTGGCATGTTATTCTGGTGAAAACAGTTCTGGGTTGTGTTCTACAGTCCCAATGGTTCGCATACGTCCCACACGGGAGTAGGAAAACAAGATGAGGGCTTTTTTTTCTTTTTTTTTAAATTTGCTTTGAAATGAGATACTTTTTTGAAAATATAGCTTTGTTTAATCTCTGTAAATTGTGATTAGCATTTTGTGGCATTATTAAGTGTTCCGATAAAAAAAAAAAAAAAAGAGTTCCAGTCACAGGCAGTTTATACGTTGTGGAAAAGAATTCTCAGCCCTGAGGTTTCCCAGAATTCTTCACACGGTTTCAGGTTTGCAGCTCAAAAGAGTTCCTTTGTCAGTTTTTTTCTTGGTTTGAAGAAGAAGAAGAAAAAAAAGCAATTCCATCTCTTAAAACAGAGCCTTCCCCGACCTTTTGGGCACCACCAGGGACCGGTTCCGTGGAGAGAGGTTTTTCCGCGGACCGGAGAGGGCGTGGATTTGTGTGCTGCCTGCATCTCGCGGATGGGGCTTTGCTTGTTTGTGTGGACCGGTTGCTGGCGTGCCACGGCCCGGTACCGGTCCACAGACCGGGGGGTTGGGGACCCCTGTCTTAAAAACATTTCACGTTCTGAATGACGTGAAACCGAAAAACTGGGTTTCTAACATTTTTGTTGCGTTTCGGTTTTGGATTTTTCTTGGCATTGATTTTTTAAAAAAACAAAAACTTGAGAGAACCAACAAGTTGACAATTCTGGACTTGAGCTGTCCGTTCTCGTTCCTGCTGAAAGGGTGGCCGTCGCTTGCTAAAGGCTAACAATCCTTTTTCGACCTGTGCAATGCAAAATCCGCTTCTAGTGAGGCCTGGACTGGCCAAGAGATTTTAGCCTGGCCTGGTCGATAACATCCAATAAGTTTTTGGCGTCTACGGCGAGGGCGTGAGCGGCCGTCAGCATCTGCTTCTTGTATTCCTGCTGCAAGCTGGTCATGACGTACTGCTGAGCCAGCTTCATCTTGTTAATCAATTCTGCCAGGTCGGAATTCAACAGTTTCTGAGCCATCTCGATCTGAAAGAGAGCGCGTAGAGTTAAGAAGCTCTTATCAAATACATCAGAAGCGGGGAAAAGTCCCTAGTTTGATCCCAAAAGACTGAAGGACAGAAGCTGGGTGGTTTTCTTGCAAATATTTCATTGCCCAAACCAAGTTTGCAAGAAAGCCACCGAGCTCAGAGAGCATCAAGGACTGGACCTCTCCTTTCAACCCCGAGCTACGAATATTCGACTTTATTGGTAAGATAGCATCGTGTGTGGCCTTTCTACTGGTGAATGCAAATCTACTCTGGCGTGGAAGCAGCTGCCCTCGTGATTTTCCTGGCCAATTTCATGCATTTTTTGCAACACTCACAGAAACTATTAGCCACGGTCTCTAGAATTTAGGAAGAATACCTGGTCCAAATCCCCCATCTGGCATCCAGGCTAGAACCAGCTCCTAGTCCTGCACATTAAGCACTGGACCAGGGGTCTTCAAACTTGGCCCTTTTATGACTTGTGGACTTCAACTCCCAGAATTCCTCAGCCAGGCACACACTTGTTGAAGTCCACAACTCATAAAAGGGCCAAGTTTGAAGACCCCTGCACAATTTAATGCCTTCAATCTCTTAGACACGTGATAGAAATTAAAGAGCAAAAAAGGTTTGGTCCAAAAGACATTCAGGCATACGACAACAGTGTATAAACCATTGCAACTCTATCCATTAAAATTGAGGTCCTGCAAAACCATGGATAGTTTTGCCATTCTTTAAAAATGCTGAGATTCAAGGAAGGAATTCTGTCTTTTGCTAGAACATGGTTTCTCAACCTCTGCAAACTTTCAAGCTTTGTGGACTTCCAACTCCCAGAATTCCCCACTCAGCATTTTCCTGGAATTTTCTAAGAAGTCCCTTGATAAGAATCCAAGTGGCAGTTTCGACTTACTTTACATGATTTAATCATTTGTCAACCATTTGTCAACCGCCTTGGAGGTGAGCAGAGCAGAGTGTCCTGCGTGACTGTATGTATATATTCTATATTTGTTTGCCTACGTAAATATTTTAAGCTTCCTCTTGCCTCGCGCGCTCTCTCTTCTTCTGGATTCCCATGGGAATCTCCTTTGAACTGCCGTCAAATGAAGCCACTCGTTTTTACTGATTTACACAACCACAAACTTGGTACACTTTTTGGTGGTTGTTCCACGTTCTTTACCTTTATTCCAAACTGGGATCTAGTGAACTGGCTGACATGTACACACTAGGAGAAAATGAAGCAAAATCTAAACACAGGCTTTAGAATTTAGATAAAATCATGGGTAGGCCACAACCCAGTAAGAAAGATGCAAAAAAACAAACAAACAGGAAAAAGTGGTCATACCTCTCTGTGAGTGCTTGGTGGGAGGACCAGAATGGTTTCATCAACTGTTGCCAATAAAGTTCGCAAGGCCAAACCGACTTCCTACAAGATAATGAAGCGTGATTAAATCAGATTGAGCACCATCGCTCCAACAGAAGCACAAGACACAGACACCCATCCTTCTCCAAAGTGCATAAAGCAAATATATATCTCTATATTTCCAATGCTCTGAAACATCTAACCAGGACAGATCCTTCAACAGGAGGGACCCTGAGATATTTTGGGCTAAAGTTCTCAGCGTACAAAGCTCTAAACTTTGAAAATCCATTTTTCCCGGAGATTAGGACCAAAAGGAACTTGCTCAAATCCCGCATGGAGGTAACACACCATGTACAATAAACATCAAACCACACAATTATTTTATAAGGCTCAAAAGTGAGTCGTTTGCAGTCCAACTGAAGCAACAAAGCAAATCCTTTGCTTTCAGCACCGGACCCAGATTTAAGATAAACTACACTCCACATTTTTTAGTAATGCATGTAAGTGTTTGACATATATGAATGTTGGTCGTTAGGGCCTGATGGTCGTAAATTGGGAGGGTCATGTGACCAACCCAACTCGGCGGCTTTTACAGCCATCATTAAGCAAACATGGGCAGTTGTAAATTGAATGCCGCAGTTGTTAAGTGAACCCATTGTTATCGATGATGCAGCAAAACTGTTACAAAACAGTCACATGACTATTGGACACTGCAAATGGCAGCCATGCAGCCATGTTGCCAAGCACCCTAAGTGCTGTGAGAACTATGGGAACTTCAGAACAGGTTCATAACTCCCCTAAGTGACCAATCGTAAGTCGAGAACTATCTGTACATGCATCAGTATCCATTATCTTAAGTCAGGGGTCTTCAAGCTTGGCCCTTTGATGACTTGTGGACTTCAACTCCCAGAATTCCTCAGCCAGGCACGTGTGCCTGGCTGAGGAATTCTGGGAGTTGAAGTCTACAAGTCATCAAAGGGCCAAGTTTGAAGACCTCTGTCTTACAGCGATCCCTAGGCCTACATCTTGGCTTGTTTAGTTACAAATAAATACAGGTCTATTTCTGAAGTCATTGGAGAAAAGAAAGTTTGAAGCCATCAACAGGAAACTTTCCCAGTCCCGGAGGGAGAAACAACGACCCCCTGTACGTGGCAGAACGAGCCTCAGCCAGCACAGCCCATAATAAGGGAAGCTGGCTGTTGTTCCACTCTCCATTCACGACGTGTATCTGAAAGGCTTCCTCAGAACACGGGGGCATCGTGCCTATCTTCGGCAGTGTGTCTCTTACCTTCACCATGGGGACATACTCCTCCGGTGGCGCTGGCTGGATTTTGCTAGACATTTCTATAACCGCCTTGACCAAGCCGGTGACGTTCTCGTACACCTTGTCGTTTGAGCGATCCAAGTTAGCCGTGGGAGGAGGGCTGATCTCCTGTGGCTGAATCTGGAAGAAAAGAGCATGGATTGCCCACCAGACGGCGCCAAAGTACTTCTGAAGATCTTTTTGGCTCCAGAGGTTACCATCAATGAAGCCCTAGGACAGGAGTCTTCAAACTTGGCCCTTTGATGACTTGTGGACTTCAACTCCCAGAATTCCTCAGCCAGGCACCCGTGCCTGGCTGAGGAATTCTGGGAGCTGAAGTCCACAAGTCATAAAAGGGCCCAGTTTGAAGACCCCCTGCCCTAGAACTATCACAGCGGCCCCACGGGGAACCACGACAAAAGAGAGCAGGCATTTGATATTTTTATCACACGCTGAGACCTCAACATGGACAGGATTTTTGATTTAACCCTGATTATTTATGGTTTCCAAAGCACTAAAAATAAGGTTGATTTGGTTTTCTTCCCTTTTGATCTGTGAATGTGATGTGTGCACCAAAAAAGATGGGAGTTAGAAATGCTCCAACGTTGGCTACTTTGGAATTAGGGAAGGGTAGTGTAACAAATCTGTTCCTTTTATAACTATTCCATCAAAGGTAAAAATGATAATGAGGGTGGAGGTTCGTTCTCCGAGCTTGTGGGTTGGTTTCTGAATGTTTCGTTCCCAGGCTAGGTAATATTTTAAGAGCAGGAGTCCCCAACCTTGGCAACTTTAAGACTTGTGGGACTTCCAACTTCCAGAATTCTTCAGCCAGCGTGCCTGGCTGAGGAATTCTGGGAGTTGAAGTCCACAAGTCATAAAACGGCCCAAGTTTAATCCGAAAGCTAGCACCACTTTATTCTGCACTGGTTAGGCCACACTTGGAATACCGCGTCCAGTTTTGGTCGCCACAACACAAAAAGGATATTGTGACTCTAGAAAGAGTGCAGAGAAGAGCAATAAAGATGATTAGGGGACGGGAGGCTACAACATACGAAGAACGGTTGCGGGAATTGGGTATGTCTAGTCTATTGAAGAGAAGGCCTAGGGCAGGGGCCTCCAACCGTGCCAACTTTACGACTTGTGGATTTCAACTCCCAGAATTCCTCAGCCAGCACAGCCCTAAGAAACAGAAGAACACCGACATCCCTTCAACTCCACTGAAGATGTTACCTCGCCTGGTAACAAAACGTTAGGAGACAAACCCACCAGTTCGGAGAACAGACCTCCACCCTCAACTTAACAGCCGAGCTACAGATATTCGCCAGCATTGCAAAATGGATGATACTTAAATAATCACTATAAAATTTGTTTTCTCCTTCATAGTAACCCAGAACTACCCCAAAGTTGTGCAGGGTTATGAGAGATGAGAGGCAGTGATGGGAACATGAACAAACTCTGTGTGTGTATGTCTGTGTGTGTGTGTGTGTGTGTGTGTGTGAATTCATCCATACACATGCCTAAAGGACAAGTATCTTGTTCACACATACTCTGGCATTTTTCCCAATATTTCTCCGGAAGGAGCATTTGATACGTTCGCCACCTTAAGCATTTATAAAAATAATAAAAAATGCTATATAAATTAATTATATAATAATAATAATAATAATAATAATAACAACAACAACAACAACAACAATAATAATAATGAAGTTGGAAGGGACCTTGGAGGTCATCTGGTCCAACCCCCTGCTCAGGCAGGAAACCCTATACCATTTCAGACCAATGGCTGTCCAGTCTCTTCTTAAAAACTTCCAGTGTTGGAGCATTCACAGCTTCTGGAGGCAGGTTGTTCCACTGGTTAATTGTTCTCACTGTCAGGAAGTTTCTCCTTAGTTCTAGGTTGCTTCTCTCCTTGATGAGTTTCCACCCGTTGCTTCTTGTCCTGCCTTCAGATGCTTTGGAGAATGGCTTGACTCCCTCTTCTTTGGGGCAGCCCCTGAGATATTGGAAGGCTGCTATCATGTCCCCCCTCGTCCTTCCCTTAAACTAGACATACCCAGTTCCAGCAGCCGTTCCTGATATGTTTTAGCCTCCAGTCCCCTAATCATCTTTGTTGCTCTTCTCTGTACTCTTTCTAGAGTCTCAGCATCTTTTTTACATCGTGGTGACCAAAACTGGATGCAGTATTCCAAGTGTGGCCTTACCAAGGCATTGTAAAGTGGTATTAACCCTTCACGTGATCTTGATTCTATCCCTCTGTTAATGCAGCCCAGCACTGTGTTGGCTTTTTTGGCAGCTGCAGCACGCGGCTGGCTCCTATTTAAGTGATTGTCTACCAGGACTCTTAGATCCCTCTCACAGTTGCTACTATTGAGCAAGGTACCTCCTAAACTATACCTGTACATTTGGTTTTTCTTGCCTAAATGTAGAACCTTGCTTTTTTCACCATTGAATTTCATTTTCTTAGATAGCACCCAATGTTCAAGTCTGTCCAGATCCTTCTGTTACTGCTATTGACCCAGGTAATCTGTACCTGTACATAAAGTGGTATTAACACTTCATGTGATCTTGATTCTATCCCTCCGTTAATGCAGCCTAGGATTGCATTCAAGTGAGGGCGTAAGAAAGGCGATCTCTTCAAATAAAGCGGAGAAGGCAGACGGGTGTCACCACGGAATTTGGGAGGTCTCGTAAATCATAGCTATGGGACCACAGGATGCTGCAAACGGTAATGCCATACTGTCGGGGGGGAGGGGGGAGTATATTAATTCAGACTAATTCAAGGTATAATTCAGGGTATAAGACTTTAGAAAGAGTACAGAGAAGAGCAACAAAGATGATTAGAGGTCTGGAGGCTAAAACATATCAGGAACGGTTGCTGGAATTGGGTATGTCTAGTTTAATGAAGAGAAGGACGAGGGGGGATATGATAGCAGTCTTCCAATATCTCAGGGGCTGCCCCAAAGAAGAGGGAGTCAAGCTATTTTCCAAGGCGCCTGAAGGCAGGACAAGAAGCAACGGGTGGAAAATAAGCAAGGAGAGAAGCAACCTGGAACTAAGGAGAAACTTCCTGACAGTTAGAACAATTAACCAGTGGAACAACCTGCCTCCAGAAGCGGTGAATGCTCCAACACTGGAAGTTTTTAAGAAGAGACTGGACAGCCATTTGTCTGAAATGGTGTAGGGTTCCTGCCTGGGCAGGGGGTTGAACTAGATGACCTCCAAGGTCCCTTCCAACTTTATTATTACTGCTACTGCTGCTGCTACTACTACTACTACTACTACTACTA